TGTCACCCGCTATGGCTCTTATGAGGTTTTGGTCATGCCATTCAGATTCACCAATGCTCCGACAACATTCTGTACGCTCATGAACAAGGTACTGCAATCGTTCTTTGATCATTTTGTTGTGGTTTATCTTGATATTATACTCTATAGCCAGACATTTTGGGAGCATGTAGACCACTTGAGATAGGTGTTCGAGGCGTTGCAGAGGAATGAACTATTCATGAAGAAGGAGAAGTGCTCATTTGCCCAACAAGAGGTACTGTTTCTAGGCCACATAGTGGAAGGTGGCAAGATATGCATGGATGCTAGCAAGGTGTGCCAATTTGGATTGGGAACCGCCAGCCAAGGTCACCGAATTGAGATCATTCCTTGAGCTGGTTAACTACCACCAGTGCTTCATCAAAGGCCCCTTACCCATTGCCACAACATTGACTGATTTGTTCAAGAAGGGGAGAGTGGGAGGGAGCACCGAGTGCCAAGAAGCCTTTGATCAATTGAAGCGGATAGTGACTGAGGAGCCCGTCTTGGCCTTGCCAGACCGTACGAGGTGCATACGAATGCATCGGACTTTGCAATAAGAGGTGTGCTGATGCAGGAGAACCATCTAATTGCACTTGAAAGCCAAAAGCTCAACGAGACCGAGCGCAGATACATAATCCATGAAAAGGAGATGACAATAGTGGTGCATAGCTTGCACACTTTGCGACATTACCTGTTGGTGTCAAGGTTTGTAGTCAGAACCAACAATGTTGCAACCAACATTCCAGACGCAGAAGAAGCTGTCCCCCAAGCAGGCCCACTGGCAGGACTTTCTTGCAGAATTTGATTACAAGTTGGAGTACAAGCCTAGGTGGGTGAATATGGTGGCTAACGCCCTGAACCTAAAGGCATGCCTTGTTGCCATCAGCCAACCAAAGGGGTCTTTGGTGCTGCACATCAGGGAAGGGCTACCCCAAGATCCTACGACACAAACTCCCATCAACCATGCCAAGCAAGGTAAAACTAGACATTTTTGGCTGCATGATGATTTGTTGTACAGCAAGGATAGTAGGTTGTTTGTGCCGCAACGTGGGAAGCTCCGCAGAGAGGTGATGCAAGAGTGCCATGATTCAAAGTGGGCTGGTCACCCAAGCGTGCACCGCACGTTAGCCTTGCTAGAGGATCATTACTATTGGCTGCACAGGGGATGATGTTGAGGCCTAAGTGAAGACTCGTCTTGTGTGCCAGCAAAACAAGGTAGAGTTCAAGCCACCATGCGGTCTCTTAGAGCCTTTGCCCATACCAGAATGACAATGGAAAAGTGTCACTCCGAACTTCATAGTCAATTTACCCAAGGCAGAAAGGTTTGGAAGCATCATAGTAGTGGTGGACAGGTTTTCCATATACGATATTTTCATTCTAGCAACCAAGGAGTGCCCAGCCGAGGAGGCAACCCCTTTGTTCCTGAAGAACATGGTGAAGTATTAGAGAGTATCGAGGACCATTGTTAGTGATCAGGACGTGTGATTCACAAGGCGGTTCTGGACTAAATTGTTCAAGCTATTGGGGTCAGACTTGAACTTTTCCACCAGCATGCATCCGCAGACCGACAGGTAGATTGAACGAGTGAATGGATTGTTGGAGGTTTATCTCGGGCATTATGTGAGTGCTACACAACGAGACTGGCCAAAGCTGCTTGATGTCACCTAGTTCTCTTAAAACCTACAAAAGAGTGAAGCAACGAACCAGAGTCCCTTTGAGATTGTGACAGGGCAGCAACTGTTGATGCCCAGTTGAATTACCGCAGGTTATACAGGGCCTAACCCAGCAACATACAAGTTTGCTAAAGCTTGGGAGGAGCAAGCCGACTTGGCCAGAGTCTGTCTACACAAAGCTGCTAAGAGGTCGAAGAAATGGACAGACCAGAAGAGGAGGAACATGCAGTTCCAAGTGGGGGACTTGGTATTGGTGAAGCTGCAACCTATCTTGCGCCACAAAGGCCTGCATAAGGGTTTAGTCCAAAGGTATGAGGGACCTTTCAGAGTTCGTAAGAGGCTAGGCATGGTTGCTTACAAGCTGGATATGCCACCAAAGCCGAGAGTACACCCAGTCTTCCATGTGAGCATGCTCAAGCCGTTCCATGAGGACCATAGGGATCCAGGACGAGCAAAGTCAAGGCATGCACCATTGAGAACCAAGGCCTCATATGAGAACGAGGTCCAATGCATTTTGACTGACAAGGTTGTAAGGCGATGGAATTATCATCAACCAAGATAAGAGTACTTGGTGCAATGGAAGGGGCTTCCAGACAGTGAAGCTAGTTGGGAACTAACAGAGGACCTATGGCAGTTTCAGAACCAGATCAAGCAGTTCCATGCAAAGGACACGATGAAGGTGTAGCAAGATCAGGTGGGGGAGAATGTCATGCCTTGGGCGGGCGCACCAGGAGCTGAGGACCAAGCACCAGCAGCCAAGGCTCGAGCACTAGGGACAAAAGTAGGGGTTTGTGGGGATAGGTGTCCAGATCACCCGCATAGCACTCAGGCCTGCCCGCACAACCAGGGCCAAGCTCGCATCATGCCCACACCACACCTAGGTGGACCCAAAAGAGTGGGACCGATCCAAAACCATCTAGAAGCATCCAGGATCGACAGCACACAACTAGAGGATCTGGTTAACCCTGGGAATCAGGAGGGGATTCTTAGAATCAAGGTATAATCTGTATTTTAATGTGTAATCCTTTAATTCTGGGAATAAGGTAATCCCTAGATTTTAGGAGTAGCCATACGGTGCTGGGGCTATAAATAGAGGGTTGCCCTTCCCTCAGTTGTATCGATCACACACTTCAGTAATATACAGAGCATATTCCTGCATCCCTTGTGTTTTCTTAGCTTGCATATTCTACCTTTCTAGTTGGCGTAGTGCCCGCACACTTGCATAGTAGGCTAAACTTAGGGATATGGAGTCAATTCCCAGCCTAAGGCCGCACCGATTCAGGCTTAAAACTAGAGCTCGTGACACCAAGCACAACCCTTAATGATCACACCATGCTAGGCTGGGCATTTATTGGCCCATGAGTTGGCAAGGTACAGTCCATGCTAGGCCAAGGGCTGGCCCAAGGCACATGCTCAACACGGCACAGCCCATATTTTGCCTGCAAAGAAAAAGTATAGATCCCTTCCTTGAAGGGATTATTCCTTTTTCAAACAGAACACTCTTTTTTGGCTTAAAACTAAATGAGATCAATCCTCCCTTGATAGGGATCGATCCCTTTGCCTTCTAACAACGAAAAATTTGAGCTGCAGCTGGAATGGGTCGAGCCTCTCATTACAAGGATAGAACTGTATGTCTTCTAACGTTAAAAAAATTTGAATTAATGAAAGAGATGGATATTTGTGTGTGATATGATGTTGGAATGACAAAAAATAAAATTTACAAAAATAGAATTTTAAGTTTTAAAAGAGTTGATTAGGCACATAGTGGAAATGTTTTTCTAGTACAATTTTTTAAATAGTGGAAATACATATAAGATTAGTTTTTGTTTTCCAAAATATAGAAATTATGATATTTTCAAAAATGCTAGTGAGCTTACGGAAATAAAATTTTAAAAATATTGGAAAAATGTTCCTCTTTTAAATTGTTTGGCCACAATTATGAATACTAAATTAAAATTAAAAGATGTATAAATTATACTTGAATCTTATTATTCTAATATGTAAATTGATATTAACCTGAACAAGATAAAAGAATCTATTAAAGAAAGTTTATTTCTATGTATGCTTTATCTTAATTCTAAGAATTTAAATGAAAGAACCTAAGAAGAACAAGAAGCTAGTCTTACTACGGAGTTAGTATGATCTTTAATAAGTCAAAGTAAACAAGAATTAGTATGATCTTTAATAAGTCAAAGAAAACAAGATTCTAATATATCTTCTAATGATGAAACTAATTTTTATTTACAACAAAATGTTAAGTTTTCAAAAGAAGAATTAGTTAAGTTTGATATTTTTATTTACAGCAAAAATGTGCATTCTCATCAAAAATGGCTTAGATGCGGAATATCGCTCACAAGAACTTGTATCTTTTGGAAGAAAATAATGATTTATGATATATGTTATTTATACTTGTAAATTTTATTGTTTTCAAGTTAATTAGTTTTTGTAAAATTTATTTATTCATAGTATAAAACTTCCCCCTTTCCCATGGCATAGGCATTTTAAGCCGAATTATGTAAAATAAATCATGTCACTATTTTTTTATTCTTCTTTTATAAGTGACACTAAAATAAGAATTACATAAGAAAAAACTCACTTTTTTAAAAAAAATTAGTATGAAACATGGAAAAAAAATACTATTGGCCCATGGTCAGCATGACCCAACCTATTATGCACCATACCAGGCACAACCCATGTTATTGTCAGGCCATGAGGCCGTGTTGGGCTAAGGTTTTGAAAATATGGGCCATGCCATATTTTGACCATGCTAGGCCGACACAAGTCACCAACTGGGCCGACATAGGCCACTACAATGCCGTGCCAAATAATAGGTCAGGTCGGGTCGAGTAGGCCCATTTGGCCCATTTTGCCACCTCTAAGCATTGGTGACAAAAGGGTGCTTATAGAATGTAAGTATCGTCTTCTTCAAAGCATTCTTACTTGCTATGTTCATTGTGCATGTCAACTTTTACTGGTTTCTCCATTCAATTGCAAATAAACAAACAGGCATTGATATGTCTTAAAGGATGTTTTGCAGCACCTTTCCTTTGATCATGAGTGTCAAACCACAAAATTCTGCAGCTTCTAAAGGCTTGAGAATGATCAAAGGTAGTAGTGGGTCCATACCCAAGAAACATCAGGAAATCAAAAAAATAATATCATGACGGAATTGTGTATGTACTGTCTAAAACTAAAATAGAGCTTAGTATGCTAGTCTCGTCAACAAACTATAAGTAGGTAAGAAACATATAATTTAATACTCGAGTTAGAAAAGACTATCAAGTAATTCATTAAAGACATAATACTTACACAATTTGCTTATTTAACCACCCTCCAATTGATTCATGAAGATGCAAAGGGAGATCCCAATGGTACAAAGTTGCAAACGGCTGAATACCTGCACAAATGAACATATTTAATACCTATGTTATGATCACAGCTAGGAGGAATCAAGTACAAATGGTTCCTTACCCTTTTCAAGAAGAGCATTAATGAGATTGTTGTAGAAGGCAATTCCTTCATTATTGACTTTGGTTCCCAAACCATCTGTAAAAACAATGTAAAACAATATAACAATTTCATTTGTCACCAAAATCAAGCTCGTCAAATTGATGTAGGACAAGTAGGAAGAAGACAAAAAATTAGAGAGAAACTCAGAAATAGACCAGAACAATTAGGGAGCAATAGAGGAAATTGGGAGAAGAAACTAAAGAACTTGGGGAGAGAACAAGACAGAATCAATAAAGAGAAATCTCAATATCTCAATATTCGATATCCAAAACCTAATTGAAACTAAAATAATAAAGGTATTCATAAATAAACCCAAAACCCCAATAAAATGCAAAATACCATTAATAAGTTAAAGCTCTAATTCTAAGAAAAAGAAGTAAGATAATAATTTATATTAAATAGCTTAAAAAATCTAAAATAGCCTAGATAATTATAAAGATCACACTCAAACCCATAAAATACATAATAAAGTCCTAAATAACTTAATCTCTCAATTAGCACATCTCCAACCTCCATAATTCCCCCCTATTTGGACAAATCTCGATCTCAAGTTTTGAAAAAAACGAAGCAAAAAAATTTCCAATGAATAATAGCATCAAATCTAAACTCATTAGTAAAACAAACATTTTCAACCAAGCAACTTGCACCTCATTTTTAAGCACTTGGAATGAAAAAATCAATGTAAGAACTATCATCCAATGCAATAGTTTGAACTCCAACAATCAGAATTATCAAGTCAAGGGGTAAATGATCTTCAATAGGTATAACTTGATTTTGCTCTTCAACTACTTGTACTTCCAAATCTGTAGATTCAACATTTTCAATATTTAGCCTATGACTAGATTATACTCTTCAACCCCTTGGACAGCCACTTCCAAATCTGTCGATTCAACATTTTCAGTTCCAAAGTTTTTAAAACTTAGCCTATGACTTGATTATGCTCTCCAACTACTTGGACAGCCACTTCCAGATCTATAGATTCAACATTTTCAATTCCGAAATTTTCAATTTGTTGCAAATCATGTTGCACTAACCCAATAGATTCTTCCTCATGCATCTCATCTCTTAAACCCCTTTCAAAAAGATTATTGTTTAAGGCCTCAAAAACAGGAGATGTGCTGACAATTATGACATCTTTAACATGTTTTTCCTCAACAAGATCTTTTTCTACATCCTTAAAAGATTTTTCAATTTGTCCCAATTCATTGCATATCTCATCTTTTACTTTTCAGCAGTCATCAAAGAACTAATCAAATGCATCTTTTATGCCCATAAATTCATCATAAAGAAGCTGTGGTTTCCAGCTTTCAAGCATTTTCTTATTATGACAGATAAAATCTTTAATATCATAATATTTATAAAAAACTGAATAATTCAAATTTTCAAAGCCAAATCTATCTCTCAAATCATTCAAATATTGTAAATGTAGGGTAGCTTCATCAATATCATCTTCCAACCCTTCAATTTGCTCCAATAATCATATTCACCCCAAACTAAAGATTCGCAAGCTGATTAACCAAAATCTGACCTTTAGGGAATGAATCTTTCAAAATAGACCTCAAAATCAGAATCAGGATGTCGCAATTAGCTAGGTCGGAAGTTTGCCAAAATTGCTGATGTGGCAATCAACATTGACGACATGACAGTGACACCAGCAGATCGATAATCAAAAGCCGGAGCATGACGCGCCACACGTGAACTGGATTTTCCATGACCAGACCGGGCACGTGGCAGCACATGTGACAGAGACCAGTGACGAAAATTCAGCGGAGGCACAATCGGAGGTTGTTTTGTATCAGCCGCCAAATGGAGCAAAGCAGATCTAGGACTTAAGTTTCGTTTTCACTTTTTTTTCAAACCTTTTGCCAGTGAACAACACGAAAAAGGGTGGTAAAACATTCAAGGATTAGCAATCTGCGACTGGTGCAAAATTTTGTGACGACAAAATAGAGATTGGATGATTGGACAGTGGAGTGGTGGCAAACAGGATTTTTTCTCCAATCAGTTTTTTCTTTTTCTTTTCAGAACAAACTAACCTGGATTTTTTTCTCACATGAAACAAACGTTTTTTAGGTAAACAAAGAAAAATGATAGATTGATAGCAAAAGCTGAACTTGAGCTCAGATACCAACTAATTGAGGACAAATAGGAAGAAAGATAAAATATTGAAATTTAGGAAGAGACTCAGAAATAGAAAAGAACAATTAGGGAGGAAGAGAGAAAATTAGGGGGAGAAACAGAAGAACTTGGAAGAAAACTAGACATAATCAATAGAGGGAAAAATCTCAATATCTCAATGACTCAATATTCAATATCCATAACCTAATCGATACTAAATTAACATAGGTAAACCCAAAAGCCTAATAAAATGCAAAATACCAATAACAACCATAAATCACTAATTTTAGAAAAAGAAGTAAAATACTAATTAATATTAAATAGGCTAAATAATCTAAAATAGCCTAGATAATTATGAAGATTACAATCAAACCCATAAAATATAAAATAAAGTCATAAATAACTTAATCTCTTAATTAGGATATTTTCGTTCTCCATCACAAATTCTATAAGCGAAAAGCAGAAAGGGCATTGACTCTTCAAATGCAAATGAAGTGGACTAGGGGCCATGATTTGGCCCTAGATCCACTTAGTGGGTGAAAATAAGAAGCTCTCTTGATCATCTGCAATTATATTGCTAAAAGAAGGAATATTTATGATGTCACACCCACTTAGTCATAAAGGAACAAAAATTGGGGGACAAAAGGAGTTTGGAGAAAAGTTAAATGAGGAAAGTAGCCCGGTAGCAAATAAGGAAAGAATTAAAAGGGATAAAGCTAAGCAATAAATGAGTGAACTTGATTTTTCTTAGAAAAAGGATAAAGCACTCAGGCTCTTTAATTCCCTCACTTTTTTAAAGGTATGGAGAACATCAGTTCAATACTACATTCATTGAGCTCTCTTTCATCATCATAACTAAGAGAATACCCACTCAAATTTAGGAACATAAAGATTGTTAAAAGTTTCCTTTCTAAACAAATTTTTTGTTCCTCTTGATATGCTTACATTATTACTAAAGACATGAAAAATTAGTAGACAATGAGGGAGATACATGTTTGATAAGAAAGTAGATGAAAAAAGGGAAAAAAAAGGAGACAGTGACAGAAAAAATATTTCCCCTATGTATCTGACGGAGAATGGAGATACCCTAATTAAGAGACTAAGTTATTTAGGATCTTATTTTATATTTTATGAGTTTGATTGTAATTTTTATAATTATCTGGGCTCTTTTAGATTATTTAGGCTATTTAACATTAACTAGTATTTTACTTATTTTCTTAATGTTAGGGCTTTAGGATTATAGTTGGTATTTTATGTTTTATTAGGGTTGAGGTTCAATTATAAATACCTAAGTTGTAATAGCTTTAGGAGACTTTGATTATTGTAATAGATCCGATCCACATATGTTACACGCTGACTTCTGCTTAGTTGGTCTACTGAAGTCACTATCATATCATCAAATTTGACTGCCAAAATCAGTGTTGACTGCCACATCAGCAAATTTTCCATACTTCCTAGCTAATGTTGACTTTCCAGTTCTTAATTTAAGGTCTTTTTTGCTAGATTAATTCTTTAAAGGTCATAGTTTAATTGTTCAGCTTGTTAAATTCTTATTTTAAGGTGAATATGATTACTTGGGAGCAAGTTGAGATTTTGGAAGATGATTTTTATGAAGCTACCTTGCATTTTCAAGAGTTGATTGGTTTAAGAGATAGATATGGCTTTGAACATCTTCATCCTTCTGTCTTTTATGAATACAATGATTTTAAAGATTATATATGTTAGAGGAAGAAACTATTCGAAAACTGAAATCACAACTTATTTAAGATGAATTGATTGACGCAAAAGGTGCATTCAATAAATTATGCGATGACTGGAGAAAAGGGTCCAATGAGATACATGATGAATTCGGACAACTTGGAAAATCTTTGACCGAAATAAAAAAGATCCCATTGAGGAAAAACATGTTGAAGATGTTACAATTATGAACACATCCTCTGCTTTTGAGGCCTTAAAGAAAAATCTTGTTGAAGAGGGTTTAAAAGATAAGATGCATAAGGAAGAATCTGTTGAGTTACTGTAACATGATTCGCTTGGTTATAATGTTGAATGTACAACTTGTTAAACTAAATTGGTGGCTGTCCAAGAACCTGAAGAGTTTGCTCAAGTGATGCCTAGTGAGAGTCCCTCATATATTGACCTTTATCTCCCAATTAATGAGATTAAACCCATTGTTATTGATTATAGCTCTTCCATTGACTTTGTCATTCCAAGTATGCTACAAAATGAGGTGCAAGTTGCTTTGTTGAAGATGCTTATAATGTTTCTGAATTTCAGATTTGACAGTGCTGTCTGTGGACTTTGCTGCAAATTTTTTCTGCACCAATTTTTCAAAACTCCAAGTTGAGGTTTTACCAAGGGAAAATGATGAAGAATGGAGATATCCAAATTAGGAGACTACGTCATTTAGGAGCTTATTTTATATTTTACAAGTTTGATTGTAGCATTTATAATTATCTAGGCTATTTCAGATTATGTAGGCTATTTAATATTAATTAGTATTTTAGTTATCTTCTTAATGTTATTACTTTAGGGTTACATTTGGTTTTTTCTTTTACTAGGGTTTAGGTTCAATTAGAAATATCTAAGTTGAAATAGCTTTAGGAGACTTTGGTTATTGAATTATTGAGATTTTCTGGATTTTATATATTGAGTTACTTGTCCTACATCAGTATTCTTCAGTTACCCATTTCATAATCGCATGATAACACTAGTTTTATCATCTACTTACCAGAAAACTAATGATTACTTGGTTTTGTCCATGAAAGAAATGAATGTACCAACTTTGTGTGTATTAGATAAACATCTACGTGATCCTTTCCCAATGAATCTGTTTTATACTCACACTTAATGCTTGAGACCACCAGTAGCTGACTTCTTTTACTGAGAAACCAAACTTGGTATTTCCTCTTTATAATATGCAGACATCACAACATTTGCCATGGAAACCCTGATTTTCCTATTTGTCATAATATTAAGAATTATGCATCACAACAACAAAGGTAAAATGTTGATGACAATCAAAGAATTCATTATAGTGAAGGCTTCAGAAACAAACTGGAATAAACCCTCTCTTAAATTGCCTATTGCAAAATTCTGCCCATCAAACTTCCTGGTTCCTACAGGTTTCTACAATTGAAAGCCTACCAGATTGTTTCTACTGTGTGCACAAAGCTAGATTAAAAGAATGAATGAATATTTCGATACTTCTTAAGTTTAGCTAACTGACAATGTTATATAGGCTACTGCCTTAGGGTACCAATACTGAAATTGGGGTCTAGACATGATATGGAAAAATTGAATCTTGCAAACCAGGGATTTTAGTAAAACAAAAAGAAAAGAAAAGCCTAAATAACATATATAAACCTACCCATCAGGTCATTCCAATATCTTAGAATCCAAATTAAGGTACATGCACAAAAATTTCCTATGGCAATCCTTCTAGTTCACCTACAATTAATATCTAGGGAAAACTTAATGAAGTAGAAGAAAGGACTTAATAGACGAGTGCTTTATTCTACAATAAATTGAATATTATAATAAAACACACAGTCATTAACCATGTGGCATGTACAAGAATAAATAAATAAGAAAAAAACCCTGAAAAGTAAAATTAAGGCATTTACTAGAAGGGCATACCTGGGAAAATGCGAGACCATGATATGGAGAACCTATAAGCATCAAATCCAAACTTGTGTATAAGTTCGACATCTTCCTGTATAACATGATAAAATCAGAAAACTGAAATCTGAAAGACCAACGTGAACAATTATACATCTAGGAAGCACAGACATGGATATGTAATACAGGTACAACATGATATGGATACAGCAATACATCAATTTCTAAAAAATGAGAACACAAATACAGCAGGATGCGGCAATAAAAAAGTATTTTTTATATACTATAATCACTAGTTAAAAATATATGATAGATATTGGGCTGATTTTTAAAAGATATTTATCCTTATAAAAAAAAAAATGATGATAGACATAACAATAAAATAGCATATGGTCTAATTATCCACATAAGAATTGTCTTTTTCTTCGTTTTCTACTTCTTTGTTGCATCCAGCCAAGTTCGACAAGTATTTTGGCTTGTTGCAAGCGTCAAAGTTTTGGACACGGATACAACACAAGTATATGAGGGGTTGAGAAGTGTCTGTACTTCATAGATATACATTATACTGTAATGTAGTAAATTTTGATATTCAAATGATAATTGAAAAGAATTTTTGAAACCCACCCCTCCTCCTCTGCTAGTCACTCACATGCATAAACAATTGTCAAACTGATAATGTCTCAGACTAAATTATAATTTCAACACATTAGTTTGGTTAAAAACACCATTACTGATTTTTGCTTAAAGATCATCCACTTCCAAAGATAAAAAGAGTACAAAATCTTGTGAATTCACTTAATAATAAAATTTTAACATCTTAGATTGAGAAAGTAAAAAATACAGCATAGACATCACTAATCCTAGACCCACCTTGTATCGATGATAATGATCAACTGCCACATCACCGCTGCTTCCATCAATAATTTTTCCTAGAAAGACAAACAGAGTTTCCTAATCAAGTTGAAATGTTCAAATAAAAAATTCGCCATATCAACCCAAATAGTGATGGCAAGAATTTTTCAATTTCTTCTTTCCTTTGTTATTAGTAGTAGTTGTTTTAAAAAGAGAAAATCCACATACCCTCAGTGTGTGAAAAAGAATCCCATATGCTAGCACCCCTGCCGCCCTCATTGCAGGCTCCTTCAATCTGAAAACATGCAACAAGTAGCTAACTCAAAATTGTCGAAGTGTTTCGTTATTTATAGTGTGCCAACTGCTAACAGTCCAGTAAGATTTTTTTTTTTTTTTTGTGGTATATAAAAATCCAGGGGCAGATAGATTGCTCCAATCCCCATGCCATGGCAAGATGAGCATCAGAAAGCTTCACTGGCTGCATTCCAGATTAGCACCCACGAGAGTCCACCAGTGAGACTCTAGAAGTGTTATCTGTGCATTTCTGTGTCTTTATTTCATATATTTGCCAAATTGTAGCATTGAATATATTTCTATGAAACCTATTACTATGGAATATGGACCAAAGAAAGTACTCAACATAAATGGGCCTGCTGATTTGTTACAGTAAACTGGCATTAAAAATGGAACCAGAACAGAAAGAAGAGATTGGATTAATGTGAGGGATCACAGCAGACTATTATGATTTTAGATAATTCTTCAGAAGTTTCAATTTCTCTTATCTCTCCATTAAGGAGGTTTAATTTACAATAAGTAACATCTTGCAAAACAATTTACCATCAATAACATCTTGTAAAAAATTTTATAATCGATAACATCTATCTGTAATCGTTAACCAACCCAGATTGCGGATTTAAAAAAAAAAAAAAAGCTGGAAGTTCAAAGAGTAGATTTGAACAGAGGAGTAATAAATTACTGGAAAAAATAAAATTAAAACTTAATTTTCTGAAAAATAAAAGAGAAGAAAAGGGAATAGCGTTTGGTTAAGAAACCGTGAAAATGAAAGGAAACACACGGTAAAGGATGTGAATCTGTTAATGAGAGAGTGAGGAAAACTTGGGTCATCGAATTCATTAAACCCCCAAAATTGGAATGAAATTAACAAAATTAAAAGTTAAAAATGAAGAGAAAAATACATCCACATTCAGATGCGCAAACTCAGACAAATTTGTGCAGAGAAAAGAGAAAGGCGGAAGCAGATCTAATCTGAAACTGAATGCATTTTACAGTATACCTGATATGAAGCAGTGGCAACCCCAAACATAAAGCCGGGAGGGAAATCAGCTCTGCTCACTTCCCCTTCTTCTTCTCCATTTTCCTTGAACCCTTCCTTCTTTGGCATTTTTTTATTATTTTCTTATTTTATCTCAAAATCTCAAACGCAGAAATGAGAATAAAGAAATTGATGCCCTTTATGCACTTGCTACAGTATTGGTAGATACAGCAGTATAAAGGAGATTACCACATTCACATCGCACTTTCCCAATATTTCATATCAACTTCTTGTCGTACTAAATCAAACTATTTGTTTGCTAGCGCAAAAAAAAAATTATATATATATATATATATTTGTTTAAAATTAGAAATAACGACAAAAAAATCAATCAAACTATTACATCATTTTTCATTTCCATTTCAACAGTTTATATATATTTTTTTCATATCATATATAATATAATAATACAACATATATAAAAAATTGATAAATTTTTTTAACATAAATATTTAAGTGGATAATTTATTTGAATGACAAATAAGTTAATAATAAATAATTATATTATATATTATTAAAATAATCAAAAAATTTTAAATTAAATCATTAATAATAATAATATTTCAATATTAATTTAAAAATAGATAAAAAGATATATGATTATTTATTTATTTAGTATTATTCAAATCCATTTGAAATATTCAAATTTATTTAAATTAATAAGAACATGTTTGAATTATTGTTTAAAATTTTTGGTTTAATGACTTTAAAAAATCTATCTTAATACATTTTTTAAATTTTTAGTTAAATAAATGGATAAAAATATCCATTTAAATTAATGGTAAAAATATTTTTCATCATATATATTACAATATAAATGGAAAGTTGATAAATTTATTTTTACATAAACGCTTAAGTGTATAGTTTACTTAATGACAAATCAGAAAATAATAAATAATTATATTATATATTTTTGAACTAATCAAAAACTTTTAAATTAAATCATTAAATAATAATCAATATTTCAATATTAATGTTAAAATGGATTAAAAGATATATGATTATTTACTTTATTTAGTGTTATTCAAATCCATTTAAAATATTCAAATTTGTTTAAAGTGATAAGAGCATGTTTGAATTACTATTTAAAAATTTTGATTTAATGACTTTAAAAAATCTATCTTAATACATTTTTTAAATTTTCAGTTAAATAAGCAGATAAAAATATTCATTTAGATAAGCAGATAAAAACATGTTCAATTATTTATACTTTAAAATACTTGGTATAGAATTGAAAATAAAATAGATTTTTGCTATTCTATTGCATCCAAAACTCTTTTCTTTACTCTTTCAATTCCAAATTTCTTCTAATTCTTCATCTAAAAGTATTTTTTATTAATATTTCTTTTTTAAAACTCTATTTCCTCTTTTAAATTTCCTTATTCTTATTTTCTTTTTGTTTTTTACAATGATTTATATAATCAATAAGAATAAATAATGAATTTTTCATAAAGAAAAAAAAAAGCATTTTTTTCATTTCCTTAAGGTATGTGATTTTTTTTTTAAAAGGATTTCATTTCTTGATTTTTATGTAATTTTTAATTAATATCTATGTCAATTCTATTGCTCTATTATACTATAGTGATAAAATTTTTATATTGAAGTTTTCTTATCATTCTTTTTTTTTTTTTAATGATCATGGGTGTATATATGCATGAAGAAGACAAATGTTTAGAAAATTGAAAAATGGTTTAGAATTTGACGAATTTTTCTCTAATCGACTTCCTAAATCACATTTTTGTCTTCAATTTCAAATTTCTCTTGATCAATTTCATTATTAAATTTCAATTACACTTTATCTTTATTATCAATTTTTTTATAACTTCCTAAGATCTATAAATACTTACTATATTTGGATTTTATGTAAACTTTTTTTATATAGCAAATTTCTCTTTTTTACCAATTAAACAACTAAATTTGTGAACCAAATTTAATTAAAAATTTTGATGTCTTAAATACTTACTAATATTCTTTTCTAAATTAAGATAGAGATCAAAAAATTATTTGAAAATTTTATTGATAAATTATATTTTTTATTTTAGAATTTTTATACTTTGAATTTATGACATTAAAAATCAAATCAAAGATTTTAATATTAAATATATAAATTTTGATAAACAAATAAACTGAGAGAATATACAAATATTTAATGATAAAAACAAAATTTTAAATCTACAAAAATTCTATGTCGATTTTTAATGATTAAATTAAATAATATTATAAATACAAAAATCTCCTACTAAAAACCTAGTATTATATAAAGTGTATTATTAGGGAATTTTTGTTAAAAAAAAAACTGCCAGGTTTTTTCTTATTTTCTCAAGAAATTTATTAAAATAATAAAAAAATTAATTATTTTTTATCACATAGTTTGTGTACTAAGAACTAGTATATAAAATGAATAATTTAATTTCGTATTACATGTAAATTTATCTTAATAACAAAATAAAAAATAAAAAATAATAATAACAATAATAATATAATTTATAATAAAATGAAAAATATGTGAATATGCTTTACTTTTTTATAACATAGTTTGTGTACTAAGAACTGATATATAGAATTAATAACTTAATTTTGTATCACTTAATTTTGTATCACATGTAAATTTATTTGAATAAAAGTTTCTTAAATCCTTACTTCAGGATCGTATCAGAGAGCTCGAGACCCAGTTGAGTCGAGTCGATACAAAGCAGGAGAGAGATCTAATGTAATATATAATAAAATGAAAAATATGTAAATATGCTTTTTATTTGAAATTTTTCAAAGATTGAAAAAATTTATATCTATTTACATTTAAAAAAAAAAAAAAAACTATAAAAACTTTTTTCTTCCAAGAACATATTTTTATCTTCAAATCATAAACATAATAATTGTACCAAAAATATAAGTAAGATATTTTTATTTTATTTTATTATTTTTAACTAGTATGTAGAGCTGTTGTAATTTTTTGTGCCGACAGCGATAGAGAAAAATCGAGAGCTAGGATCCTCACATGTCATGTCATGTTGTCTAAATTTTCTTTTAAAGGTGAAAGCGACAATGGAACAACCATAACAAGACGGGAACAAGCATGCATGTGAGAATGTAAGGATGACGAGGGATGATTTCATTTGATATTGATTATTTTGATTAACATAGAATTTTATATTTATAAAAATTGATTTGTATTTGAATTAGATTTTTTTTTCGTTAATTGAATCAAATTTTATTAGTTTGAGTTGATTTATTAAATTTTGAAAATTAAATTTTATTTTATTATTATTTGAGTATTATTTTTAATATTTTAAAATAAATTTACATATAAATTTGCATTTTATTTTATAAAAATTTAAATTTTACAAAAATTAATAAAACTATAAAATTTAGTTCATATCAAATATTTTTATTTTTTTTATTTTTTGATCTAATAAATTAAACCAAATTAAAAAATAAAATATTTGATCTAGATCGAATTGCATTAGAAAAAACAAAACTAAACAAAGTACTATAATTTTAAATTAATTTTTTATTTTTTTAGATTTTTTTTCTTAACTCTAATTGTAAGTCCGATGTGCCAATTGTCATTGAAGAAATTACAAAATTGTTTAGTCTATCAAAAATATTTATTATTGGGTACCACAATCACAAATAACTGATGAAAAAGAAATGCCATTATGGAAAATTAGTAAAAAATAATAAAAATTACTTTTTTCCCCTAATATCTAATGGGTGTGAAATCACAATTTTATGTGATTTTCATATATACAAACCAGACATAATATATGTATATTTTAGTCAAAAAAATGTATAATTATCTTACATTATATGTATATTATTTTGGCTAGTAACAATATATGTATTAGTAACTATAAAAAAAAATTAATTGAACATAAAAGACAAGCCCACCAATTTTGTGATCTTCAAATCCTTTCATTTTTATGATGTTTTTAGTGTGGACAACTCTATGGGAGTTAAAGATGCGAATGTGAGTTCTACTCTTGAGGTCTTGGTTATTAGGACTCATGATAACTCCCATTTGGTGGAGATGCAAAATGTCTAATCTTTGTTTAAGGAATTCTCTTATCTATTTAGTTTTGTATACGTCGGTTCTTTTTGCAATTGTTGTAGAGCTCAGAACTCTTAGATTTTTTATCATGCTAAATGTTAGTGTCGACCTTTGAGCTAAAGGTCAAAACTCTAAATTTATAATCAAAGAAAGAGAGCGGTTAAGGGTAAAGCCAAGGAATGTTCCTTACATTTATACTTCAACGCTCATGTTAGAGGTCAACTATAAGAAGTCAAAAAGAGTGAAAAATAAGGAAAGTAGAAGAGAATAAGATTAGACAAATGGTACTTGGATTACCCTATTTATAGAAGAAAGGTGAGGGGTATGTAGGGTAGAATAGTGATGTAACCAAGCTAATGTAACACTATATATCAGGTCAGCATGACATGTTAGCTCGATCAAAAAGTCAAAAATACCCTTGGCTATTTGTTGATAGTCTCTAATGAGAGAAAAGAATAATTTGTCCTTTAGACCTAAAAATACTCATAATATTTTGTTTTGCCATCGAGTAGTCTGAATATCAAACTATAGAATACGAACTTTGCTAATCTAGAATGTGCCAACTTGATATGTGATCAAAGTTGTCGAGTTTGACCTTGAGCATGGGTTTCGGATTATACATTTAACTGATCCATTTTGAAGATACTAAGGTGAGTGACCTTGTGTCAAGGTAAGCTAAGGTTGGACCAAGCAAGCTTATGAGTAATTACTAACGTGACTTATGTGTCTGATGTGAGACTTGTATTTTTTTCTTAGTGTTGAAATTTGATTTTTTTGGTTTAATACAGGGTTGACCTAGCATTTGGCTTGTTTGCTCAGTTTGGCTTGGGTTTTATGATTGGTCTAACCGGTTTGAAAAGGTGGAATGATCAATTTACCCTCTACTATCTGAAAATCATATTTAATAAATAGTGAGGTATTTAGAGGATAAAAATTGAAGGCAAAGGGTCATCCCCTTTAAACGTTTAGAACACATGGCATGATTTGGAGTGTTCACCTAATCTTTACGTTGCCTATATAAATAGCCTTTTAGGGCCTTCATTTTTTGCTTTTACAACCTTCTTGCTCTTAACCTGACCTAATTCCTAAAACTTTCTAGCTTTGTCCAACCAATCTTCCTTATCTTTTTCTCGATAAGTTTTTTTTCGCTTTTTTTTTTATAATGCCTTTTT